TGTTGCTCCTTTATAACTGTAATTTTGCTACTGTTACAAATCGTAATGTAAATATGTGATATGCAGGATGTGTTTTCGTTGTTACAAATTCAGATTGCGCTCCTGCCTGCTGGCAGGAGAGCAGTCGAGGCGAGGGAGGCCTCGCGCAAGGCAAGGCCTTGTGCGAAGCGGCCCTCGCCTGACCCGTGCCCCGGGCAGCCGGCGGGAGCGCAATCGAGTCAAGGAAGGCCTTGCGCAAGGTGGAGGAGCTGACCTGGAAAGCCTGGCTGTTTCCCTGGCACAGGGGCCGGCAGCCATTTTGAGGAGCCGGAGGGAGTGGGGCCAACTGAGGCGCCTCCGCGACCCCCAGAAAATGGACCAGTGACCCCCCCGGGGGTCGCAACCCCCAGGTTGAGAACCGCTGCTGTACAGGTTAAACTACATCAAGAATACACTTCCAGTGTTTCTTATTCCATTACATTGTTCTGAAATAATTTTCTCTTTCCTCATTTAATTGCATTCCTGAAGATAGCAATGACTTAGTTTGGCACAATTTCAACTGTAATTCCTACCACTGGCTATAAAGAGAACATGACATCAGATAGCTGATAATCTCTCAGATTCAGAATTGGTTTTTTTCTACTTACATATAATTCTTGAGAAAATTGGCTGATCCCATTTAGCGCACTACAGGGGTATGCAAGTGGGATGAAGACACGGAGAAAACCTTTCGTTAGATAAACTGTCAGAGTAATTTAAATTATAAAACGATGGGCTATAATTTTAACATAATTATAGGTTGGTAAAAAAATTGCTTAGCCACAGGTGCAGCATTTATCTGCTTTCTGAGTAATGCATATCTAAGTGTGCTCCTTGAAAGGGATTCATTGATAGAAGTGTTTCCAAAAGAATCAAAATACTTTTTTCTACTTGCCTCTTTCTTAACACACAAAGTACAATGCCTGCCAGTTTTCCACAACAGTTCTAATTGTTGGTCTTCTATGAGAGCCCGAGAAAAGCACTCCCTTTTTTCTACTCAACTTGCAGTGCCTGGTTATGCCTGGTACAGGAAAGATGCCTTCCTGTCCTTTAATTCTTGCTTTTGAGGTGGAGCTCAAAAGGGGTGAAACCACATTGAACTTCTTTAGGTTGTTGCCCTGCAGTCAAATGAGGCCTGATTCAGAAAATCTGAGTTTTTTTGGCTTGGCTGGTGCTTCTGATGTAACAAAAATTAATTAAAGCTTTTCATTCTGGGCTATGCAGTCCACAGTGAGTTTGTAGTCCATAAACAGTGAACTGGGAATGAACTTCCCTACAACCCCCAGAGCTAAATCGAAGGAGCATATGGTCATATCTTTTCTACTTAGAAAATGTCCTAGCTGATTGTGCATGTATTGTCGAAGGCTTTCATGGCCGGAATCACTGGGTTGTTGTAAGTTTTTTCGGGCTATATGGCCATGTTCTAGAGGCATTCTCTCCTGACGTTTCGCCTGCATCTATGGCAAGCATCCTCAGAGGATGTGCATGTTATGAAAATGGCATGGAAATTTGAATTAGTATCTGCCAGAATCTCCCAGCTAACATAACCACTGGCCATGGAGGTGGAAAGCTTCCTCAAGATAAGAAACGAAAAATGCAAATTTCCCAAGCTCAGATTGAAAAGTGGACAAATGTTTTCCCAGTCAGTAGCTGAAAATAACTCTTTCTCCTGTTGCCATTATGGTTGGCAGTACTACTGAAAAAGTATTGCCCCACCATGGTACTACCTTACTGTGGTGATGCAATTCTGTGCTCCTGTGAGACAAGAAGCTATGCTGATGGCAGCTCTGCTGCTAGTAGGCTTTTTCATTTTAGACTGGGTTTTGCTGAGGAACCACACTAAATGGGTCAAACATCTACTAAACAGCAGCAGTAGTATATGTGTGTGAGAGAGAGAGACACACACTGGCAGAGGATCTCTCGAAGACAACAGCAGTGGCATCACACTTGTTAGTACTGTATAGAAGGAGGCCCAGCAGTGAGACAATCCAGAATGAAACAAGAGATGAGACTCTTAGGTCAGATTGCCCTTGAGCAATTGAATACAGTAGAAGGCAACTACGAATAATACCTCGGCTAATGACACAACTGGATTCAAGTTGAAAGCACATTCATAGAGGTGAAAGGATAGTCTGAAGCTAAACAACACATATGATAGGAGCATGGAATGTAAGAAGCATGAATCAGAGGGTGTTAGACCTAGTAAAACAAGAAATTGAACATAAGCATCGTAATACATGGGGTGAATGAGCTCAAGTAGACAGCAATGGGGCATTCTGAGTGTTTTACTCAAGAAGTGTAACTCTAGTAAGAAATGGAGTGGTATCAATCTTGAAGAAAGATATACCAAAAGAAATGAATTGATATAATGGTTTAGTTAATAATCACAATGGAGACTGCAGTCAAGAAATCAGAAGATGGCTAGAACTTAGAAGGACAGCCATGAAGGAACTGGACAAGTGTGACGTGTAAAGATGTATAATTGAATACTACATTATAAATGCCCAAACTATGTTATTTCCCATTTCTGTGTATAGTTATAAAAGTTGGATGGCAAAAATCTGATGGGAAGAAAATGAACTCATTTGAAATGTGGTGCTGTAGAGGAGTTCTGTGGATGCCATGGCCTGCTAAAAAGACCATTACATGAGCCCTAGAGCAAATTAAGCCCGAACTCTACCTAGAAGCCAAGATGACTTCAACAGAGACGGACATGTTTGACCATATCACTGGACTCCTGTCTTCTCCTGACATGGCCAAATATGACAGTCTCTGTTTAAGTCATCTTGGCCTCTAGGTAGAGATCAGGCTTAATTTGCTTCTAGGGTATTTAGATTCCTCTCATTCATAGGGTCATCATCATATGTAATATAGCATGGGATGAAGCTATGAATGCAATGCGTCATGGAGGAGGGAGAGGGTTCCGTTAACCGGGGAGCCCCCATAGAAGTCGTGGTGGGGAGGGGGAGATACGGGAAAAGGAGACCTTTAATTCGGCCTAGGGAACGTGGAACAACATTAGTAATTCCAAATCGGTCTCCTGATGTGGTAAGTTGGTGTAACCAGGATGGCGGTCCCTCCGGATTGAAGGTGGTGCTGTTGAACGCCAGATCTGTCAATGGTAAAACAGCTTTCATCCAGGATTTAATCCTGGATGAACGGGCAGATCTGGCGTGCATCACAGAGACCTGGCTGGATGAAGCTGGAGGTGTGAATTTGACCCAGCTTTGCCCGCCAGGTTTCTCTGTGCAGCACCAGCCAAGATCCGGAGGGCGGGGAGGCGGGGTTGCAGTGGTCTATAGAGATTCCATTCTTCTGACCAGGGCCCCCATCCCGCAGTCAACAAATTTTGAATGCGTCCACCTGAGGGTGGGTGACCGGGACAGATTAGGGATTCTGTTAGTGTACCGTCCACCTCGCTGCACTACTGACTCCCTGACTGAGCTAGCGGGGGTGGTCTCGGACCTGGCGTTGGAGTCCCAGCGGCTGCTTGTGCTGGGGGACTTCAATGTCCATGCCGAGGTCGCCCTATCGGGAGCGGCTCAGGACTTCATGTCTACCATGGCACCATGGGGCTGTCCCAACAGGTATCTGGCCCCACCCACAGTGCTGGACATACATTGGACTTAGTTTTCTTATCAGGGATGGGAGGAAGGTGGCGGTGTTGAGGAGTTATCCATCTCTCCGTTGCCATGGACCGACCACCACCTGGTCAGCTTTAGACTCACTGCACCCCCTAACCTCCGCAGAGGTGGAGGACCCATTAAGCTGGTCCGCCCCAGGAGGCTTATGGATCCGGATGGATTCCTGACGGCTCTTGGGGAATTTCCCGCCACCTCGGTTGGTGATCCTGTTGATGCTCTGGTCGCTCTCTGGAATGGGGAGATGACTAGGGCAATAGACACGATCGCTCCAGAACGTCCCCTCTCAAGTAGCCGAGCTAAACCAGCTCCTTGGTTTACTGAGGAGCTGGCAGCGTTGAAGCGAAAGAAGAGGGAACTAGAGAGCGTGTGGCGTTCGGATCCGAGCGAGCCAAATCGAACACGGTTTGTGTCCTTTCTAAGGGCATATGCCGCGGCAATAAAAGCCGCAAAGAAGACTTTCTTTGCGGCCACTATTGCGTCTGCAAAGAACCGTCCGGCTGAACTGTTCCGAGTTGTCAGAGGCTTTTAAAACCCACCATGCAGGATGGGTGCCCTGATGACTCGGCAGCTCGCTGTGAAGCCTTTGCTCAGTTCTTTGCAGACAAAGTCGCTTTGATCCGCTCTGGTCTGGATACCATATTAACAGCAGTCTCTGAGGATGTAACACGAGCATCTGCTTGTCCGGTTTTGATGGATTC